AGCAAACATAATGGTTCGATGTGAGTCACACAGCTTGTAATAACTCCCACAGCGGGTAACCATTGTCGTGTGTGCCGTGTGCCCTATGCAAGTCGAGTTGAATAGGGCTGACCGAAATTTGTGATTCTAAAATTATTACCTACCCTCAAAATTTAAAGCACTAAAATACGTCGGGAGCTGGGGTGAAAAAAAAAAGATTATTAGGGACAGTTGATGTGTTTAAACTACAATTAAACCAAGACCAGATTGCGTATGCTATGATATCTTTTAAGAATAAGAAAAATCTCTGTCCCGAAAATTATTAAATTGATAGACAGCTGTAAATTATATTATTATGTCGTGTTGTTATCTATGTGGACTTCAGAACAACAGTTCATATATTATTATTATTTATAAAAAAACAGAAACTATATAAAAAATTTAAAGTAAAATTAAACGAATAAATAAAGAAAGAAACCAAAAATAAATAAATAGAAAAGATATAAAAAGAAAATTTATAAAATTAAACAAGCTTTTGGTTCTTTATGCAACCCTAAACATTGAATATGTCGCTGTTTAATTGGTGTCGCAACTCGAATGTACTAGTAATTTCTCATGCGCTATCATGGCTTTGTTTTCTGTCTGTCTGACACTTTCTTTCGTGTCCTTCATTTACGACTAATAAATATTACGAGAGAGTGTTATAATCTAATACTAGTGGCCCCGCAGTAGTCGAAATTCGACTATAGTTAATTGAAATTATAAATTTAAACATTATTATGGTTCTATTATCAAACACTATTATAATTCGATAATATAATCACAGTTTCACAGTATTCGCCAAAACTGCACTATAGATTAATAACATTAAAGACAAACCATATTAATCTATTTTCAATTCGACCAGACTTTAAACAATAACAAAAGTTTCCCAATTGACAGTAAACAAAGAGTATATTTTTATATATGTGTTGTGTCAAAGACATGGTAGTTTGCGTAATGTTTTCTTTATTGATTTAAAGTATCTTTTATGCATTATTTAAAAAAAATATTAGCATTGTGCACTCCTTCTCTATATTCTCTATAAGTGTGAGAAATTTCATACTGCTGTACCCCATTTTACGAAAATTGTGCGGACGGAAAAGTATGAAAATTCCCACATTTATAGAGAATATAGAGAAGTAGTGCAGAATGTTAATATATTTTTTAATTATACATAAAAAATACATTAAATCAATAAAAAAAACATTACACACACTACTATGTATTTGACACACACACACGCATGCATACTATTTGTTTATTGTCAAACCTTTCTTATAGCTTATAGTCTGTGGTCAAATTGAGAATAGATTACATATTGTTTGTCTTTATTAATATTTGTCTATAGTTTGGTCTTGGCGAGGTCTGTGAATAAAGAAGTATTTGACAACAGAACCTTATTAATGTTCAAACTTATAATTTCAATTAATTATAGTCGAATTTCGACTACGGCGGGACCACTAGTTGAAAGTTATATCTTTACAACGACGTCTTTCGTTATGTCCGCATGAGCAAGTCATATTCAAATTCTGTACTTGATCTGTATGTGTGATAAAATCAATTCGTAATTCGGAGGGACTTCGGTTCCCTCTGTATTTTGTACCGTTTCATGGGGAGTGCTCTGAGGAATTGTTTGAGATGATACTTTCATCTCGTTTTTACCATCGCACCGCCAACCACCGGAGTAGAGTTCATCAATACTGCCTGGAGCCACTGCGTTCATCCACAGTGCGTTTCCAGAGATCTTTTTTGCCACGTAACATCCGGCTTTGGAATGAGCTCCCCTCCACAATGTTTCCCCGAGCGCTATGACATATGCTTCTTCAAACAAGGCTTGTGGAGAGTACTTATCGGTAGGCAGCGGCTTGACTCTGCCCCTGACATTGTTGAAGTCCATGGGCGACGATAACCATTCACCTTCAGGTGGGCCGTATGCCGTCTGCCTACAAGGGCAATAAAAAAAATAAAAAAATTCGACGTTTTTAATTGAAATCCAAATATGTTTGTTTACACCGTTCAAATAACTGACGATTTTTTTCGCGTATTAAGCGGAATGTCGTTTAAACCAAATAGCTTTTCACGTCTCGACCTGAAGATCTCTTGTATTCAAATGTGTTCAAGATTGAACTGATACATTTAATATTGATATTCAAAAGTAAGGTTGCATTTATTTACGTGTGCTTAGATCAATGTAATTAATCATTGCTCTATTAAATTATATAAGTTTCAAAATCAACAATTGTTCACGTTTGACTTTCACGGTGAAGGAATAACATCGTGTAATAAAAATCAAACCCGCAAAATTATAATTTGTGTAATTACTGGTGGTAGGACCTCTTGTAAGTCGGCACGGGTAGGTACCACCGCCCCGCCTATTTCTGCCGTGAAGCAGTAATGCGTTTCGGTTTGAAGGGTGGGGCAGCCGTTGTAACTATACCGAGACCTTAGAACTTATATCTCAAGGTGTGTGGCGCATTTACGTTGTAGATGTCTATGGGTTCCAGTAACCACTTAACACCAGGTGGGCTGTGAGCTCGTCCACACATCTAGGCAATAAAAAAATTAAAAAGAAAAAACAAGTAAAGCTCTACAGAATGCCACTATGATAAAAGCTTATGTTGGCACAGCAAACAAAAACATAAATACATATCGACGCTTGAAAGCAAACGTGACTAAGCAACAATAACTGCTTTGTATATAAATGATAGGCAATAACCATATTCGATGCGCAAAAAAATTTATTTCTAGGTCTATTAAAATCATTTCAATCCTACAGCTACTAGCTAGATTCTACTACAGCTAGATTCGTTAAAATAAATTTTGTTTTCAGGTATTTCAACTTTAAATTAGTCTACTGTAAAGATCACGCATTGTCGCTTAGTCACGTTTGCCTTTCAAGCGTCGATATGTTTATCGTTATTAATAAATGAGAATAGAAAAGAAAAGCGAAAGATCAATCAGAACTACGTTCACATGTTCCATTCATTAGAAACAGCCCTAAAAATAAAATCGCCGGTTCCTCTCGTAAATCGAAAGTCGTTTGAGTATCCAATCGACGATTTCCGGTTGGCGAAACAACGCAACATGTTACAGAAACGCTGGTAACGTGGAAAAACGTTACGAAAATGACATAAACAACATAAAATATTAATTAATCGATTAATTTTCGAACCGTAAATCACGAGGCCGTGATGGATGGCGTGAAAGTTATGTTTGAAAATAAATATTCATAGGAATATTACGATAGTTTGTTATGAAACTAGATCAGAACACAGATGGAGTAGCAGCCGTTGTATTATAGACTGGTTTTATAAAATACTAGCGACCCGCCCTCGCTTCGCTTCGGAAACATTAAAACACACATGAAACAAAAAAAAAAAAAAAAAGTAGCCTATGTTCATCAGGGACAATGTCGGCTTCTAATGGAAAAAGAATTTTTCAAATCGGTCCAGTAGTTTCGGAGCCTATTCGAAACAAACAAACAAACAAACAAATCTTTCCTCTTTATAATATTAGTATAGAAAATAAATTAATAGAACTAACTACCCTAGTGACTGTTTTCAGACTTCGTTCCGGGCACATCCCACTCAATAAAGTTCATATAATGAGGAAGCCTCCTGATCCCAAGTGTTCAGTTTGTGATGTAGTGGAAGATGCTTTTCACATTATGATGGAGTGTGCGCGGAACGATGATTTGAGACAACAATTCTTTGCAAAATATACAGATTTTCGACAAATTGGAGGTGTAAATTACGTATTAGCCTTTCCGGAATCCGAAATGGCTATGTCACTTTATAAAATAGTTTTGGTGGGCCTGACGATAACAGATTTGCTTAATTTTTTTCACAATGGAGTGGCATATTCACTAGGTGCATAATCTCCTTAAATAAAGATAAAAAAAAAATAAAGAAACAAACCAAAATAGTATACTATGCTTTTTTTTCTGTAAATTCAGTTTAATCTTATCACTTAAAACTATCTCGCATTGAAAACAACTCCCAAGAATTCGTCAATAGCAAATACAGGATCCGGCCACATGATAAATCGGACTCTAGAAAAGATTATTATTGTTTGTTGAAGAAATAAACAGCTATTTAGTATGTACAAGAATCTTGTCATATACTATGTTCTTATCGAACCTATAGAGTATTTACCAAACGCGTATGTAAGGTAGGTAAGGTACGTTTGTCCAAATTAATTTTAAAAGAACACACACATTAAGCGTCAATATATTCCTTGTATTCTATGGATTGCGCAAAACGATATAAACTAAAATAAAATTTTCATGTTACCTAATATATCCCTCATATATGACATATTTCAAGATATAGTAAGATAAGATGATAAATGTTACGAAAAACTTCAGATTAAAGAAGCGTGAGAATTGGATTTGAAATTGAAGAGTTAGATTGAATTTGAAACCCTTCTGAATCAATTTTAAAGTAAAATCCAGTATATAGGCAGCCAATTATTATTAATGCAGTTGCGTGTGGCGAAAAGAAATCCTTATATATATTCCTTAATTTTACTTTTATGTATTTAATACGAAGCTATGTTAATATATTGAAAATGAACTAAATGATTTTTCGCCATTACAACCGGCTCTACCTTGTTATTGTGTTTTCAGTTTTCATTTCTTTGTAATATAATATAGCTTTCAGGGGTCCACTTCGGACCAGCGAACTTGCCATCCAACGCACGACAGCTCACGCTTGTTTTCATAACATTTCTAATCCTTCCATTTTTTCATTAGCTTAAAGGGTAGTTTTAGATTTCGTTTTCCGTCCCGACAGTGGCAACTATAATCGTACTGCCTAGTATTGTTAACATGCAGCTAAATTACGCTATCATCGAAATTATAATTATATATACTTGTAGTACCTAATAGAAATTCACCACAGGACCACCAAATTTGTAATAGACAAAGTATACTTTAAAAAAAATTAAGATAAAGTAGTAAAGATTTCATTCTTCAACAGGCTAATTAACACGAAAAAGTAGCTGTCGCTTACGTTGATCACCCACGAGAGCACTGTGATGAATCGGCCACAACACCGGATAGTGCACGTTGACGTCACCTGATGACCTAAGGTCATTGATGATGAAGTTCTCCACGGGATCCAGCTCCAGCAGTCTAGCCAGCGACTCGCTGTCCAGGAAGTCTACTCTCTGCATTTATACAGAAGTCGATGGACCTGTGGTGCCACCTCCCTGCGAAAGAGTGAGTATCGGCAGATTTCACTTAAAAATCTCATGTTCCCGAACCGAATTTGTTCATTCACAACATTTCAATTCCATTCACCTATTTCATTATTCCGCATTGTTAATTTCGTTACATGTAACTATATAAAATACCGTCTATAAAACCCAGGGATGCTTATGACCGATACTTTAAAGTACTCAATATCTAAATATAGAAGCACATTTCTGCCATTAACATAAAAATTTATAGGCTATGAAGTATTTACTACCGCTTTTACTTTTCGTTTTCAAAAGAGCTAACATTGTAAGTTTGTCGGGTCATTGAAGCGAAAGTAATCGTAAGCGCTTAAGTTGGAACCCTGTCTCTCCGAGACGGGAGTAAGCAAATTACCATTTAATTTTCAACCAAATACGGTCCATTAAACTTTCGGTCTTCAGATAATACATATTATGAACAAAAACCTTGAAGAAACTTCGGGTCCGGGTTTGATAAATATAAGAGAAAGTAACCTGCCATCTCTGCAGACAACAGGCAAGGCGGATCATTCTGTCCATTCATTTAGCTTCCAACTCTGTATTGTTTTCCAATAAATACTCATTTACATTTATAAAGCTTGATCTTTAACCTTGCCGCTTTTACTGTGAATCGTTAAAACCTGATTCCGTAGACGGTCAACGCCTACCGCTAAATTTCATAGTCTCGTGCAAATTGAGTGTCAAACGAACGGTCATTTACCGATGACACATCTATACTAATATTATAAAGAGGAAAAATTTGTTTGTTTGTTTGTATTTAATAGGCTCCGAAACTACTGAACTGATTCGAAAAATTCTTTCACTGTTTGGAAGCTACACTATTCCCGAGTGACATAGGCTATAACTATTTTGAAAAAAATTAGGGATTCTTACTAAAACTCCAATGATGTAACCCAAGGTGTAAAAAATTACCTAAAATATTCTTTACATCGCGTGCTCTCCGAAAACTATTCATGATAGAATAAAATAATGTACTACAACTTTGTAGAACACATTATCGACACATATTAAAACGACGTCAAATATCGTTGAAATTTTTGTTAAAGACCCGAGCGGAGCCGGAGCGGGCCGCTAGTCTTATTATAAAGTTACTTGCGAATTACGCGTTGTTATGTAAACTGTTTGCAACAGTAACTCCTCTTACAGAACACAGGATACTGTGTAATTTGTAATCGTGATTCGTGAGTTTCGTTTACAACCGACAGTTGTTAGGTATGATTATGCACAACGGGTTTGTTCAATGTTATGATAAAAAACGAGATCAAAGTAACAGCTATTAAATAAAATGCAACTTTATATCGGACCACTTTTTCACTGCTATTTAAAAATTATTTTTGAATCCTTCTCCTCCTCCGTGCGTCGTATTCCTCAGTTCTGGGGGTCGTGACCTTTACTGAGCACTTTTGTCAGGACTGTGTTCCCCCATTCACTTCTGTCCTCCGCGCAGTGGATAGTGACATTGATGCTGGATGCCAAAGTCGTCTTAATCTGATCGGACCAACGCATGGGACTACGCCCCCTAGGCCTATTTTTGAATATCTAGTCATAAATCGATACCAAATTCTACAAACATTACAACGTGGTATTATTATTATTGCTTAGATCGGTGGACGAGCTCACAGCCCACCTGGTGTTAAGTGGTTACTGGAGCCCATAGACATCCACAACGTAAATGCGCCACCCACCTTGAGATACAAGTTCTAAGGTCTCATGTATAATATTCTAAGTAAATATTCTAAGGTGGTAGCAAACCTTGCGGCATAAGATCGAAATCTTCCATCGTAAACCTCTCATTTTTATACTTAAATGATTAATGGATCGATGCTCCTAAGTTCTCCAACAAAGGGATATGAAATCGATTGATAAATGATTACAATTTAATGATGTGGTATTGGCTAACGTTTATTATTGGTTTCGTGATGTTTCTGTGCTTTGTCTGTCTTCATGTTACTTATCAAGGTCTTTATTGTTATGCAGTATCGCACATAGTGATCTGACGTTATGGCTTGTGCACTTTCACGCTTCTCTTAAAAACAATGCAATCATTTCCACAGCTCGAAACTCCGCAATTCGTATAATGAACTGCGCAACCACTTGTATTTTTTTTTTAGAGATTTTATGACCTTGTAACTAAGACCTTTAAGTCATGTCTTATTTTACTTTATAATCTTAATTTTATGAAAAATGATAATATGGAGTGAAATGAAATGAAGATGATTAATTTGAGACATTAATCAACTGGGATGAAATTTCATAAAATGAGATGATATGGGATGAAATATAATCGCAGTAAAATGGTGGTCATTTACTGAGATTTTTTCAGTGGACTTTTTGGAGGATCCCGAGAAGTTACGTCCAGCAGCTTTGTTTCATTTTCCCACATTTGTGCACTTAGATATTAAACAGTTAATAAACCACCGTTATTACACATTTAAACCTGAAGAAACACTAAATAGACAAAATAAAACAAATCACACAACTTCACTCCTCGCGTTCCCGCTAAAAAGTCAACCACTATCTTATACAAATGTTGCCGGTAATCAATATTAGAAGTATTTAGGAGATTCTATTTCGCATTAGATGCGATATTTCTTAATACTTTGGCTAATAAGAAGATGTTGAACACTACATTATTTATTAATCTAGTTTCGAATAAAATACAAAATCGAAACAAAATCTTTACCTATTTCACTGCACTATGAATTTTAGTCAATTTGCTGCATATTAAATCTTAGGAACTATTTATTGTAAGGCTAAGAGTTCGATAATGACCGGTTCATAGATTTTATACTATTGAAGGTGCAAAATGTACGTTAAATATAGCAAACCGATTAAATATTATATCATTTAAGTACGCAAGAGACAAAAAATACTGTGAATAAAAAAAAATACAATAAGTGAGTTAGATATTAATATCTATTATGTACAGAAATTAATAATCAGAACACACTTGTCACTTTCGCTGTCCACGTCTATACGGATTAATACCATTGTTCTGTTACCTGCTGAACTTTTACCGGTCGATTGTGAGATGAAAGTTTTAATGATCGTGTTTAGAAAACCGATCGGGTATAAATTGACTTTATCTTTATTGATGGCCTCACTTTGTGTTGGTTGACAACGTTTAGGCGAAACGAGGACCGCGTAGGGTTGATTGATTTGAGTTTTTATATATATATATGGTTATATCTCAAGGTGTGTGGCGCATTTACATTGTAGATGTCTATGGGTTCCAGTAACCACTTAACACCAGGTGGGCTGTGAGCTCGTCCACCCATCTAAGCAATTAAAAAAAAAACAGGACAACACGATGCATCCATTCAAGTGGACAATTTTTTTCACAATTGAGGGCCAATACGGATGTCTATTCTAATATTTTTAAATTTTATTAGTGAAGAATAATCTTGATTATTAACTAAGATATTTATACATCGCATTTTATTCGCCCAAAAATTATTTAAAATTTTGTTAAAGTCTAACGAAATAGTACAGCGCAGTTTCTTTATATAGCTTATTAAAATAAAATAAAAAAGCATTAACTAATCGTCGAACTTTAATTTAAATTATTATTTTCTTTATAGCACGAGACAACCCTAGTCACAACAGACTGTAGTTGACCTACAATCACTGGCAACTTATCGCGAAGTCTCGTTTTATAACTTACTTCTAACATTACTTATAAGTTCTATTTCCTTTTGTTTCAATTGCAATTCATAAAACTAGAGGTCCCGCATAATAAAATGGCGGTTGAGGATAGACTGACTATTTATTGTCAAAGTTATATACAGACAGATGATAGCAGATGGCGCTAGTAATCATTTACATTTTGTTACAATATTAACACCTCCGCTTAACAAAATCATAAATACTTCGTAACAGGTAATATACCAAGCTTTTTTGTGAAATATTTATGCTTTAAAGACCCTAAACTTTTTGTAAAAATATCTGCTGGCATTTCAGCAGTTTCTAAATAATCAACTTTAACAAACTTGTTTGCAACTGCTTCTCNATAATTATCGCGTCCTTTTAGTTTCGGCACATTGATAAGGTAGTTGGTAGCCATTTTGACGAATAGTTTTTACACAAATACACTGCGATAATCAATACGATCAGTCCAGTTCACAACTAAATCTCACTGAATACTGTCTTTTAACACTTGCTTTACTGCAAAATCTTGTTAAAACGACTCAATACTGGGATTTTTTTTTGATTTTCTGCGATTTTCTGGGCCCGTAACCTAATAAAATGGCGGTTGAGGATAGACTGACTATTTATTGTCAAAGTTATATACAGACAGATGATAGCAGATGGCGCTAGTAATCATTTACATTTTGTTACAATATTAACACCGCAGTAGTCGAAATTCGACTATAATTTGAATTGTAAGTTTGTACACTATTATTATGATTGTATTTTATACTTCTATATTCACAAAATTCGCCAAGGCTATAAAAATATTAATATAGACAAACAATATTTAATCTATTATCAATTTGACCACAGACGTCAAGAACAAAAGTTTGACAATAAATAGTATGCATGCGTGTGTGCGTCAAATACATGGTATGTAGTGTGTGTAATGTTTTCTTTATTGATTTAATGTATCTTTTATGCATTATTTAAAAAAAAATATTAGCATTGTGCACTTCTTCTCTATATTCTCTATAAGTGTGTAAAATTTCGTACTCCTCCGTCAGCGCAATTTTCGTAAAAAGGGATACAAAGTTTTTGCTTCACGTATTAATATATAGATAATAGAATCAACAATGAAAGTAAAATTCGTCGTCGACAGGCAATGAAAATTCTAAATGCAAATAAAATAAATTAATTAGTAAAATTTCACGGGAATGTTTACGTCCTACATAGCGAAAAAAATCGCATCGCGTTCTGGTTTCGTTACTACCTTTCGTTCTGAATGCGTATCGGGGTATGTCTTTATGCTCCTTTTATTACGAAACAGAAAATCTTAGTACTTTCAGAGAT